GAGTGCGACGACAGCTAAGGTCATTGATACCGTAAGTGTAGTGTATGTTTCCCCCCTCGGGATCTGGCTGTGAAATTCCACCGCTGGATGTTGTGATCCAGCGCCCTACCATCGGCTAGGAAGGTTTTCCTCAACCAGGTATCTCTCACCAGCGATTCACTGCACCACAAGGGACAAGCTCTAAGCGCCCAACCGGAATCCCGGCGTGTGTGGTAGTGCAGTGCGTGCTAGTGCGTGTGTGTGTTAGGGGTGAGGATAGAACAAGGAAGAGGAAGGAAAGATCGCGCGCGGTCCGTGGCCTGTTTGGTTGGGTACTGCTCCGGTATTCGCCTGGTATTAATCGGAGAAACCACGGAAATCTACCGATCAGAGCAGCCGGCCGCTTGTATTGTCCTTCAGACAGCGTATTAATTCAACCTAGGCACTGTAATGACATGAGGGATTTGGAACGGAGTTTAAATATGGTTTTAGGCTGAGGGGGAGGGAAAGAAAGAAGTCAGGTACGTTCTCCTCGAAATAAAATTAAACTTATTTTGTGACCAGAGAAGTGAATTTTCTCATCGTCACACAGCAACATATACTGGGACATTGCAAGGAACACGCACACTGTAGCATTGACTCGACCGGGAATTAAACCCGGGGCTGAGTAGTGGAAAGCGAGCACTCTGATCAACAACTAGCCTCGAGGACAAGTAAACAATTTCACTCATTTTAATTCCATTATTCATAGAATTTCATTCAAAAACATCGTTTGTAACCTACTGACTGATTACGACGGCAATATCTTCTTAAACAGGCTCTCATAATTAATTAAGGTCACAAAAATGACTTCCTTAATTTCATTCACGAATAATGCCTACAGAATCACATTAAGAAATGTACTGTAGTAATGCGTATGGTATGAATGTGATTTTTAGTACGTACATCTACTTCTTGTATCTTCTTTTTCGTTTTTTTTGTATTTTTTAATTTTTTTTTACTTTCTGTTAATCCAATACATGTTTTCAAATGCGTAAATTATCTGTTCTTTAGTTTTAATTATTGATTATTAATTTAACTGAATTGATTGTTTCAAATCTCATCGTGTAAATGAAAATTTAATGTATAGTAATAACAGTTATAATAATAAAACATAATAATTGATAATAGTGATCATTTTTAATATAAAAAATTAAGCCTTTCAGATATTTATAGACATAATTATTGAACGGGAGTTTAGTCTTCTGGAAAATTATTTTTCCATTTTATTAGAATTCCTACTACTCTAGTTTATCCCCAATTAAAACTTTTGGTGCTAGGTGCAGACGGAACACGAAATAAAAATTGTTTGGTTTGTTATATATTGTTTATATGTTCAGACTTATAATTAAAGTAATGTTTTAGTGGTAGAAAAGAATCAGGGTGCCTTTAATATTTTCCGTAAAATTATATTTTGTGTGATTTGTAAAATATTTAGGTTAGATTGCGCAGAAGCGCTTGTCATTGAAATTGATACTGAAATCTAAAAATGATGGGTGTATTTGTATGGTGTTCTTTGTAAAAAACTTGTCTTTATATGTTGTCAAAAATATACTTGACAAATTAACCAGATTTTGTTTCACTTTGTTAATTGCGAAAATGCATTTCTTATAGTATTCGGCGAATTTAAAAGTGTTTATTTCTAATTCTAGAAATTTTTACAGGAAAGGGGATAAATATGTTTGGATATTGTAGTGAAATATAGAGGCAAGTGATTTAAAATAATTCACTATGTTCCCTGGTAAATAGGAAGCTCCGTATTTACCCGAAAATCAGATTTAATAAGAAGAGATTTGTCCTAAAAGTCATTCGAAAAATATGGGGTTGTCATGTATTCGCAGATTTAGTCTATATTGTTAAGATTTAAGTTTTTACATTGCCTTTGCATGACACGTAACTCGTAAATGTTGACATAACAATAATCTGCAAATATGATAAAAAAATACCATGCGTGTATATTCAGTTCGTTGCATTCGCGGAAGTACGAATATTATCTGCATCCATCACTATTTAGCTGGACGATTCAGACGATATTTTTCAATGTGCTGGTAAAGAGAAATTCCCAAACGAATCGCAGTTTCACGTGAAACGCAAGTGAAAATGAATGAAACTGTTTGCAGAGCCAACAATGCCGCGCAGATTCGACGCCCGGCGAGTGCGAATATGCGTTTTCAAGAGACGTAAGTAAAAAAAATCACATAAATAGACGTATTTATGCTCTTTCGCTGTATGTATAAATAAGTATTATACATAGGTGTTATGTATAAATAAGCTCTTTCGCTGAAAAGCAAACAGTCTCTGGCCGTGTTAGCCTAATTGCTTAACTTATGCTCCGTGAAGTCATGATAGTTAAGCAGATCGAGACTCCACGGATTCCTGTGTGTTGGCCATCTAGAAATCCTGTTTATTAATGGTCCCTGGACGAAGGAATAAAAGGCAATGAGTAACTGCGTCGTTAAGAGACAACACAAAATTGAACTGTGGGTTACTACAAGAATGTAGTATATTCGCTACAGCCAAATGATGACTAAAATCATTGTTGCAAAAAAGGCGCAACAGAATTAGGAACACAATTTTTTGGCGACAGAATATACAATATTTTATTTACAAATAAAAAATCTTGCATCCAAGAAGGCATAAGTTTATGACAAGATGATAATTTGAAGAGGATGTAATAGATATTTTTTGTATTATAAACTACCTTTTCGGAGCCGACCACCATTTTCTCGCACAATGTCAAATACGCGAGACGTCACAAGAAAGCTGTTTTGCAAAATTAAGTTTGATTCTCTTATAAATTTATAATGCTGTTACCTCAAAAAATAGCGTGTGCAATTCGTTTATAATGTTGCTTCATTGCATTCGTACAAATGTGAAAACTCGCTTTTAACGTCACTCGTTTTCAAAACATATTCTCATGCAATAGAGTTGCTTTACATTATAAACTAACTGCATAAACGACGATTACGAAATAAGTATGGTAATACATTAGTGCAATACTAGTTTGATGTAAGTTTGATGAGCATTAAAATAATACGATACGAATATCGTACAACGTTTCATCCACTTTGTAAAAATTTCAAAGCGCTGTAATTTTCATGTAATTTTCAACGGTGAGTAAAATGGTTTAACAGTGAATTAAATTCGCAGCAATGAAATACCTAGAAATAAATACGTTTTTTACATTGCTATGAACAATTAACAATTACCCCCAAAAATGAAAAAGTAATCTTTGGAAGCACAAAGGAAATCCTATTGGAAGGCTTGTGCTCTGTTGTTGATTACATTTCCATATTTTGTCCCTATTTCTTCCGGGGTTGGGCGACCGGAGTGCCGTGCTTCCGGGCCGGGCGGTTGTGCACGTGCAGGGAAGCGGACCGTGTCCGCCGGATAGCAAGATAGGGCCCGCGGCGGACTGTTCTTCTTTGTCGTAGCTCTCCTTTTCGAGCCCGCTCAAGTTATTCATGTATACGTATGTCACTTTCGCTAACAATTCACGCCAACATATTTAGTTGATTTTCAGGTCTGAAAGCAATATTTTACGAACAATAGTTGCATATACGTGTATGTAGAGCGTGGCCCATCATTTCGTGTTAAAAAAATTTCCTGAATTTTCCAGGTTTTCCAAAGCATTTCAATTTTATTCACTGATAAGATTTTTACTTTCTCGCCTTTCACGAATTCTTCGTAAGAAGAGAAAGTCATGTAATCCTGAGGCGGAAAACGACTAATTTTCGCCAGAAAATAGTATTATGTGATTCTCAAATTTGAAATTTTTAATTTTCATATTTTCTTAGCTCCACAATGCTAGAGCTGAAACAGTTGTGTCTTGAGTAATATATGGAAGTGCGTAGGTCTTGTCTTCCTGCATTGTCGAGGTTAAGTTGGGAAGTTCGGGTTGATCACTTGAAGCCAAGAGGTTGCCGGATGGAGTCCCACAGCGAGATATTAATTTGATGAAAGTGTTGTTGTAGTAAACTATTAGGTATTCGATAAACTTTATTGAAAATCATTCGAAACATTTTTAAACATTTTTTCAACATTCTTTTGCGATTTATAAAACGTATGTCACATCAAATCAATTGTTGAATTTCTGTGCATCTGTATGACCCAATTTAAGTAAACTAATGAATCTATCGACATGCAATTTAAATACATTATGGACACAAGCCATGTGATCAACAACGGTTCAGAAATTATTCGTACATGTTCACCTTACGAATTATTAATAAAATGAGAAAGCTATGTAATCTTGCGCCAGAAAACGCTCAAATTTCGCCAAAATAAACCTCATTGCCGGGATCTGGTAGTAAAAAAGTGGAGGAAGTCTATTGCTAAATTCAGAAAAAAATATCTAACTGGTGGTATTACCAGAATTCATGTTTTGTTTGTTCTTGATACCGAAAAGTCGATTAATAGCAAAATGTCCGTCTGACTATTTGTCTGTCCATCGGTGGTTAACGCTAGCGCCTAAAACGTTCAGCTATTTTTCTTCAAAATTGATATACCATGATTGCTCTAAACGGACAGGAGGCTTTGGGAGTTTCTAACGGATGTTTTGATTTTTTGAGTTTTTGTTACGTAAATCGGACATTTACCTTTTTATACCTTTGTAAGAGTTAGAACTATGCGGTGCTTCTGTTGCGTAGTGGTATGAGTGCCGGAACGTTAACTCTCAGGATCTAAGCTCGAGTCTCGGTGCGGAAAAATAATTAGTTGCTTCACAACACTGATTGGTGGTTATGGTGTAGTGCAATATTGCGGAGCTTTTAGAAACAGTGCGAGAAAGTATGTGCTTTGGTGGCTCCACTAGTTCGAGTATTTTACACTGTTTGAAGAAAAAGATACTTTGCCAGCTGTTTAATTTCCCCGTTAAAGTACACATTACAAATAAAACCAAACAAATAGAAAAAGTAAAACTCTATTTTATTAAGGGATGTGAGAGAATATTAAAAATAATCGTAAGATTAGAGGTGGAATGAGACAAAGCAAAATTAAATAGGAGATTACTCAATAAATACAGTAAACCTAAGAATAAAAGGAGCCAGTTGGAGGAAGAGCCATACAGAAAGGAGGCAAATGTTTGACAAAACGCAATGAAAACAGAGGATACCAAATTGTTATTTATTATCATAAACATTAGAACAAAAGCAAGTATCTTAAAATAAAGGTGGAAGTGCGCGGGCCATGGGCTGGCGCAGCTTCTTTGTACGAAGGACGTCTTTCGCAGCCGGAGCGAAAGGGGAACCAATCCGAAGCATAGTAGGCCAGGAACGGCCAAAACCCAATTTTACTTGCATTATAAATACATTCTTATACGTGGATTACGAGTAGACAATGTCATGCAATATAAAATTTGGCACGCCGTAGCATTAAGTTAATTTATGTTGTAACTAAATAAAAAATCGCAATTGTATTTTGAGCAGATTGGAGGATTTTCATTATCGTTGCTCAAGTACCGAAAAAATTAAAAATTAAAATGATTTGAATACAATTTTCACTAAATATGTGTTTTTATTATTCGTTTCGTCTCAGTCTGTATAAAGTGATATATACACAAATGTCATAACTCAGCAGCAGTTTAAAAAGTTGAAACGCGTAATTGTATTATAAAGAGTTATTATGAAAATATACACTTTTGTGTGCATTGTCTTCATGATTTGAAAATTGATCAGCAAAAACATAATCGTACATTATTTTTGTTTATTCTTCAATACTCGAATCTTTCAAAACTTATTTTTTAAGACAGAATGTTCAAGTTTGCGTTTATTCCCAGTACAACTCGTATATTAAAATACTAATTGTAAGTATTTTTCATTCTGTTAAGTAAGAAAAAGTCTGATTATCTAAATACAAAAGAGAAATTCATTGGATAGGTTAAACTTTCTACAAAATCCTCATGAACACTTAAACTGAATCAGCAATTATATCTCTGAAAATTATCTGTTCCATTCAAAACAGCACAAAGATGTAATTGCAAGTATATGGCACGCTTCATTAAACCTCGTCCCACCCATGGGCACGTGGGGTTTCTACGCTTGAGCAGGTCCCGCCCTGGTCAGCTCCGGGCCTGCGGCGGTCGCCGGCGGAGGCCAGAGCTGGGGGCGGGCGACGGCCGGAGGGTCTCACGGGGGTGGGCGTGGCAGGGAACGTGCACCCGTGAGCGACTAGAGGAAGCCCGGCTGATGTCTGCTCCGGAACCGCTGGCTGGCACTGGTGTAACGCAGGCCTGCAGCACAAGCGAAAGAGTGCATTGAAAGTACAGCAGGAAAGAAGAAAATGGTATTATAGAAATTTACCATACAATAGAGTTATATTAAAATTTGAGAGCTCGTGTTAATAGTCACAAGTCACAGTATTCACAGGAAGTCCGCGACTATTCGATAGGGTTAGCATATCGATTTTTGTCCTGTCATTGACGTTGCCTCAAATGTTTCATATATTTAAATTTCGAACCAAGCCGTTCGTATTTGTAAACACATGGTCCAAAATCTAGGTATTAGCATTTACGAATAGAGGTAGACTTCCCATGGCTGGTGTGACTTATCTTGTTACTGCCGCAAGTCCTTCAAATCTAGTTACTCTCGACGTTTTTACGACGGTTTTACGCATCAAAATACTATATACTATAGAACTATGATAGCACGTACTTTCTCATGTTATTTGTAATTACCATTTGTCTTACCATTTCTTGATAAACACTTGTCATACAAAGAGCAGAAGATTTTTAAAAAATTAATGCAAATAGCTATTGAATCATAGAATTCAGTGTGTTGTGATATATCCTTTAATGAAGTTTTAAGGAAGTAATTCAATCAGTTTCCGAAAAAACACTTAATTGTGGAAAATTGTCATGCGTTCACTTAACATTACGCAACGCCACTGAGATTTGAAAAAAAAAATATACATGAAATCATTCAAAATACTATTACGGAAAAATAAACTACATTACGAAATAAATATGTAAATTCAATGATGAAAATGAGGATAACTTTAAACTTTTTCAATTTTGCAACTTTCAGAGGATTTAGTGAAAGTCGAACCTATATCATATATACAAACGCACTTTTTGCTATTCGGACAGATATAAAGTATTCCAAAAAATACGTTTCAAATACCCATGGCCTTGAATTTGAAAAGATCGATTGGAGAATATTCGTTTGGGGGAAATCCTTTGCACGGTTTGGACGGTAGCGATGTTCACGGGAAGACGTTTTCCATACAAACGCTTTCTCGGTATCAAAGATTCTCAAAACGTGTGTTTCCCCCAAAACATCGACATCAATTTTCTCGACAGCAATACACAAATTTCTTTATTTTTAGTACACAAAACCGTTTGAAAAAGGTTCAATGTAAAAACGCAAGTGTTCTAATATACTCAAAAAACGCATCTTCAGTGTTGCATTCAAACTAACGTCCAAAAGATATTAACAAATTGACTAATTGCTATGTTTGTTAATTGTATTAGCTTCGTAAACTAAAATTCTGAGTCGTTAATAATTGTTTTCCCTTAACCAATCGCATGTATACCCTGTTTTATTTCGTGGTCGGAATAGATTATTAGCTTATCATTATGTCCAATGAGTATAATAAAGGTTCTAGTAGTAGATAATAATGCTTATTAGTATATGAACTGTAATAAAGAGTACAGCCGAAGTGAATATATCAATCATTATATAGATGATTCGTTATATATTATATACAGGTAGAAAAACCGTCGAAATGTTAAACAATAATTCGTAGGGCCTTTAAGATAAATCGTATATTAACGATTTATAATATATTTAGCTGAAAGGTAGAAAGGTTCTAATAATCTTTATGTGCTCGTCAGTTATTATACTACACACGGGCTGCCGCGCTCGTGAATAATCAAGTAACTTAAACATTGTCGTCTCTTTCGGCCACTTATAAGATAAATAATTTAAAAGGGAATAACATTATTGTTTTTGATCTCAATAATAACGGTATCAATGATGATTTACACATCTTTAATTAATAAAAGTTTTTGCTCACAAATGGAAAGTTAAATGTGTTTACCAAACAAATCTTTTTACTCTTAAATGTTATTATTCGTTAACACGAGGTAAACGAAAGTGTAGAAGTTTAAGTTAAGATTTTTAATGTTTTAAATTATTACATAAACTGAACACATAATTTTAATTAGACTGTTGTCAAGTAGCATAATTAAATTATCACTCTTGGACATTTGTAATAGTTTGAACAGGATAATATTTTTATTTAATGAGAGAAATATTAAAATGTAATTCATTAAGCAAAAATTGAATTTATCTAGAGGAGGCACACAATTGTATGCCAAAATGAATTGATCGTTAATAAATAATAATTTACAATCCATTAATATCTTTAAAAGGATTCAATATTAAATAAACGTCTTATTCAATACGACTTACCTTGTTTTATTTGCTTTATAAACAGTCACAGTCCTTATGGTCCTCCACCTCCACTTGCCCGCACTTGGTTACGCCCATAGCGTTTTTGCGCGTTACCTGCACCAAAAAGTGTATTTATGTTACGTGTGACAGCATGATGCACTTCGCAATGTGGGAGGGATTTCAGAAGAAAAAACAGAACAGGTGGGTTGAGAGAATGTTTTAAAGTATTAAATAGGAAACTTCATTAGAAGAGGATTGGGAAAACGCAGATACGTGGTTGAAGTAAAAAACAATCAAGCAAGGCAGGAAATTGGTAATTTAGAAGCATCAAATCTCAACTTTCTTGAGGTGAGAAGAAAATATTTTTTAATTAAATTTCTCTCAAGTAAATTCTAAACTTGTAAAAGATTTTTTCTATAGTTAGTTAAGCCTGTTAAGTTGATTTAGTTGGCAACGTCCCTTCATTGAGAATGAATGGCGGAAAGAAAACGATACGGTGAGAGACTGAATGGTCTGTTATTACCTTCCTCATCAGTAACATGTTGAAATCAAACTTTGCTTTTAAGTTTGGAAATATGACTACCGAGAACTTCCTATACCCCCTGCTTTATTTCCTATTCCTTCAACGAATCGTACAATAGCAAATCATTTTCTAAACAAATCTCAAGTGTAGTGCGTTTGAATTAAAACAAATTTTAAATTTCACCTCTTCCTTTTGAGTGAAATTTTTTTTTCGTAAATTTGTACTGTTGTTGTTGTTGTTGTTGTTGTTATCTTTGCGAAAATATTTATATGCCCGATGGAAATTATTCACAGGTGTTAAGAGAACACTCATGGCAATGCCTATTTTCTCAATTTGTGGCACCAAACTATTACGGAATTTAATCCAGGCAACTCAACTTTCGCGAAGCTGGACGATACCTCCCTAACTAAATTGAGTCATTAAAATTAGCGTAAACGAACATAAATCATTTCAGATTAATGAAACAGCTAAAAAAAGAAACGAAAGTGGTGCAAGCTTCCAGAGTTCTTTCGGGTATATGCAAAGCACATTTGGGGAATAATTTCTCTTAGTTGTAATAAGCTAGGCTTGTCCAAGGTTCGCGTTCGGGAATGAAAAGGGTAGAAACTAAACTACAAAACAATTCATAATCCACTTTGTATGCAATCTGCATTTTACTAGGTAAAATTATTGCTGTGCATTTGCATTAATACCCAACTTGTGATTGTACTTTATATGTATTTATAAATAATGAACATATAAACATTTATAATTAATATAATAAATCGAAACATTGTTACTAGTTGTTGACTGTTGCAAGAAAGTGAACTCATTTCATTGAATTGTAGGAGATTTCCTGTGTATGTTTTTACTAAGGTTCACTGTGTAAAACTATAAACATAGAACCAACCCACAGAAATAAATAAATAATGCGGGACACCCTGAGGGCGTCGTCTTCCTTTACCTCTACTGGCGTTTGATTCAGGAACTTCCCCCAAAAGACGCTGCCCCAGCCCTTTCCCCTCTACTAGCTCGCAAGCTCGCCCTCATTCTAAGAACGTATTTCGGAAAGCAGGTCTGAAATTCGCAGCATTTTGAAGAGGCGTGCTTACCTGCACCCTTCGCTTCTCCTTGTGCGTGGCCTGGCACGACACTCCGCTCTGCGCGCAGTGGCCCACACAACGCTGCGCCTCCACCACCGCCGGGTGGAACTGTCGACAGTCGCAACAGCACTCTAAGCAAGGAGGAGGGAGTATCGATGCAGATTCTTGGCAGTCCGGGAGGAATCAATAGATTCTTGGCAATCGAGGAGACCCTGCGTCCTAGGCGTAATTGCCAACGCTTCGTCCGCCAAACTGCGACCTTCTTCAGGGCGAAATATCTGAGGAATGTCGCTGTATGTCGGTCGAAATGTTGACGACGTCTCTCCCTTAGCCAAGAACCGATGGATTCCGGTCGCGGAAGCCTGAGTATTCAGCAGAAGTGCACCTTAACCACTAACTAACCACATGACGCGCGTAGACTCTGTATGAAATGCAATTATGAAATTGCCTATTCGATTATTCTCTAAACGTGAATTATTCTCTAGTGGACTACGCGAGATGTTTCTTCCATCATTCGCCTCCTATCCTCTTTCATCCACAAACTACACTTATTGGCACAGCAGTACCATAGAAGTCGTAAACTTAATTTGTCCTAACAGGGCGGTGCCGAAACCGGGGAGTACCTGGAGGAGGGAAACCCCACCAGCCTAAATTTATGCCAGCACCGGATCTGTCGTTCTAGTGAAGAGAAGAACACCGCGTCTTTCCCGGGGTATAATGTGCACTTACGGGACTTATGATCCCAGTAGTTGGCGCGCCCAGAATCAATTCTCAATCCCTCACAGCTGTGGCTGCTTTGTCCTGTGCTTGCAGTATGCGCGCCAGCGCTTCACTATGAAACTGTACCAACTTTAAAAAACGTCGAAATTAAAACATAAGAATGGTGGAACTTAATTAACACTTCCAGATCATAACGACTGGCACAAGGAGCTTACCGCCGTTTGAAGCTCCCCTGCAGTGAATTACAACATACAGTTTCGCACTATTCGCTAATTGTTCATCCCCAATTGAAGGTAGCAAGGATAGTTCGTATTGACTGAGAGGCTGGCGCTATTGGTCATTCCTAGGATTGGCTGTGTCATCATGTGGTTCATATGTCAATCACAAAGAACGTTGGTATGTGATGTAAGTGAAACATTGGCAACAAAGTACACATTTGGAGACGTTTTAATGGTAGATTCGTTAGGGTTGTGATTGAATCGATTCTACTAAACAATATTAAGTACTTTCAACCTCTGAGCTGTTAAGTTAATCAATGGTTGCATTCGTAGCAAGTCTCCAGTCATGTGACTAAAGACATTTCCTGTCTCACACAGATTAGGTGAAGATTCGTTGACTGATTAGCGGGGTATACGCTCTTGTTTATCGTGACGTAATGTATTGCGAAGAGATTTCTAAAGAGAGGGTGATTTCTGACTTATTCTCTGGTTTTAGATGTCGCCAAATATTCTGCGAGGTTGAATGCTGCTGGAGTAATGAGTTCCGTGAAGGATGTAGAAAGCACGTGCGCAACCTATTTCTGCTGAGTATGCAACACATCGGTTTCATTACTTCATTTGGAAAAAATAGTGACATGAATAGTTTAGAACTGCATCCAACGCTTTCAGTTCAACATAATTGTTATTTCTCTGACGAAAGTTGAGATTTCAATTGTTAGGCCTTATAAATTGGCACGGAATTTATTTATAATTAAATTTACAATTTCATTTTTATTTTGATGGTTTTCACTAATTTGAGAACATTTGAATACACATTTTAGAACTATACAAAAAAGAAAAAAATTATTGAGTGTGTAGACTTCTTTGCCTTCTTCGCCTTCGACTTCTTTGCCTTCGTACAAAGAAATAATATTTCTTAGAATTGTGATGTGTAAGTTGATTTCTGAAATGATTTGTTAAATTTTTACCAAAAGAAATCACGTCATACCAAAAGAAGACAAGTCAAAATGATATCCTTTCGTCAGCACATTTAATAATGAAATGCATGATCTTGATGTCTGTTATGGACTGGTTACTAGAAAGAGTAAAGTGGGTTCAGTTTTATAGAAAAATGGGTATTTGTTATTGTCTCTGCATTGTCGATGCAAAATGATAGTATTTTTTCTTGAAGGGGGAAGTGTTTGGGCAATGGAAACCAACGTGTTTACGAGTAGTCGATTGTACAATGAAAATCACAATCTAGAACTTGTACAATTATACTTTTATGCAATTGTCACACAATGGGGAAAAAAACTATTTCGAAATCAAAAAGTTTGATTTATCTGCTAAAAATGTTGGTTTTTACATATTACAAATCCTGAAATGCAAAGCTTGGAAATTACATCACTTTGTATGAAGAGAGATTTATATTTTTAATTGAAACAAAACAGTAATTTAATCTTGATGTCAGTTACTGATTTTGCTCTTCGACGCGCCGTATATAAAATCGATCGCAGTCATTGCGCTCCAATAAACATCTGGAGCAACATATTCGTGTTTTATACTCACCATAAGACAACGATTTAACAATTTGAATGCCAGAGGAGAAAATGATCAGTTTGGCTTTTATCTGATTCTTAATTGCATACTACTATACGTTAAAGTTGTATTAATTGTAAAATATAAAAGATAATACAACACTTTTTTTAAAAAAGGTTACTCACCACATGATTGTTGTCTGTATTAATTTTCAGCAAAACAGTGCGCACTTTGCAGTAGGAGCGTGCGATCTCGTCATCGTACTTATCTTGATACTCTTCGCTCTGGCAGTGATCCTCCTCTGAACATATCAATTACATCCAATCGTAAGTCTTCTGTCACTATTGAGCGTCTAAATAATACCATTTTCCTAACCCATACCCTATTTCAATAATTTTTCTTATACAAGAATATGTGATCAGAAGACCTTTCATCACCATTCAATTCATTTATTTTATAACATTTTTTTACGGTGAATGAATAATAAATTTATTTAACTTGATTAAAAATGTAATAAAAAAACACTTAATATGTGGCAATAAACTCTAGACACGCATCAATATGTTTTCGCGTTTTGGATTTTTAAAATCTCATGCCAATGAATGACTTGCCCACCTTTCGACCCTTTTTTAATATAATAGGAAACATGTTTAACAGGTTTAAATAATTTTATCATAGAATTACGTTTGACACTGTGTAACTTTACGATGATGACAGCGAAGGTTGAAAATACATTCTCTCAATGTTTTGTAAACTACGTAACCTTCTTGGGTATATGATTACATTTTTCCTGACATTTAAAGAATTCTATTTTTTATTACATAAACATTTTGGATGACTAATTTTTAATAGTGGTCAGATGTTCTCATCATTCCTTTATAAAAAAGTACATTATTGAAAATTAGGTACAGCACATTTCTAATAACATACAACAAACCATTTTTTATAATCATTTGTTCAGAAAGTTGTAGTTATAAATGGAAGATAATTGTAGTTATTTATTTTCAGGCATGATATAACTCGTGGTGACATGTGAATCGAATAAATACCTACGCATTTAATCATCTAAAACCCGAATCGTCTAATGTATGTGCATATTTGCTTGCTAGAACATCAGTATTGCCTCTAATGTCTATGTGAATAGCTCTGCATTCTCACGTTTATTGACATTGGCGTCAATCATTTTTTCGAAAAGCATGATGTGTCATTGATACTTGCCTTGCACGTTGAACACATGTTGCTCTGATGGAATCGATATGAAGCCGGAACATGTTTGCAATGAACGGCCCCAGCGAGCGCTCTGCCCGTGCACCTGCAACGAAGTGAAAAGTGTCAACCTGCAGAATCCAGTTACAGTAATAGCAGCTCAAACTCTATAAATAAACTTGGGTGTGGATGAAGCACGGCATTATCTCACGATGTACTCGATGAGGTGTTAGGCTTCCTGTACTACAAAAAGAAATTGTCCAATGTAATATCTATAACATTTTTTGCACTCCCGAGATTCTGTTGTAAAGTTTGAACGATTAAAGAAAGATAAAAAGTTGTTTCTTCGCGTGTTAATACGCATGATTTAAGAAAATATGGTTCTATAAAAAGTTTTTCGGATAGAACGTTTTTAAAGACAATGAAACATTTTAAACTGACATGGTTGCTACAAAATGTGATGCTTTAGTGACAATATTTGATTTATTTGATTTGATTTTTTACGTCGCAATCAACTACATAGAGTTATTAGCGACTACCTTAATAATACACAATCAGTACAAAATAACACAGTGACTTAGAATTTTACTTATATGGTTATATATTGTTATACATTTAATTCCTTTACAAAGCAAATGAATTTAATACACTGTTCTTTGTTATTGAGATCTTTAAAGAAACTTAGTTTGACTTGTTTCTTGCATCATTCATATTCAGGGCAAACAAACAATGTTCTACTGAAAGAGGGATCTTGCACACACTACAGTTTCAGCATCCGTCCTGTTAATAAATAGCCGTGTGAAAATTTTGTGTGTCCATATTCTACATCTTGTTAAGACAACCTGATTCATTTCTGGCAGAAACTGACCGTTGGATTATCGTCTTCAGTTTCTTTGTCTAACTGATCTTAATTTGCACCCTGTAAGTGTTCCATTCTTTACTATCGAAGGTCAGCTAAATTTGTTCTTGACTCTTTTGAGGTATTCTTGATAGCTTACTGGTGTATACTTCTAACTTCGCTTCGCGCGTGCCTTCTTTAGCTTTCTATCTGCAATTTCAATTTTCTTCAATGCAACGTGCGAGGGTATCCAGCACAACGCTAATTTCTTTACCCTCAGTGTTCAACATGGTTGATTTTTCCAACTCTTTCTTCGACAATACATTATCATGGATAGATTCATTATAGAGATACAGCACTTTTAGAGTTCTGTTATTAGTCATAAATATTTTTTGATTGGTCCTTGTGATGAATTTAAGCACGCCTCAAGCTACTGGCATATAATTCCTGGATATCAGACAGCAGTGTCATCCGGTAATTTTTTGGTGATCAACTCACATGAAAACTATTACTGGGCGCAACCTCGTTGTTTAAATCTTTGAGCATCAGTTAAATTGGTATTGTAACCATCACATTTTGCTAGTTCATTTCTTATTTGAGACCCAAGTTTCGAATGATTTAAGTAATTCTGGCTTGTTAGGGATATTCGCAAATTCAATAACGTTGATGTCTTCGAATTGGTCCAGGGGCTAGTCCAGCTAGAGTCATAATATTGAGGATGGTATTTTCTCTTGTAATCTTCTTTAGTGTTTGAATTGCTCTTTTGCTAGGGTCTCGTGAAGCTTCTTTTTATAGCTAGAATGTTTTTCTATAATGTTTGTATGCATATTCGAACACTTTATTGAATTGGATTCAGTTTGTTGGCTGCCAACTTTAAATCGTATACCCCATAATTAGATTTCTTCTACGTTTTACTAATGATAATAAATCTGCTTCACACAAAATGCTCATTGTTGGGCTGGTCTTGAAAGAACCACACGTCAGTCTTGCACCCTTATTATTGATAGGATCTAACATTCTCTGATGTTCTTCTTGGCCGCATCATATAGTATACAGCCATAGTCCAATTTTGATCTCACGATTGCCTGATAAGTTCTCCTTATAATCGTATAGTCCGCTCCCCACGATGTATGGCTAATGACTTTGACAAGGCTCATTCTTTTGGTGCACTCATTCTTTAAATTCTTGATATGCGGAATCCATGTCATCTTTTCGTCTAAAATCATTCCTAAGATTTTAATTTCCTTACTCTGTACCAACATATGCTGTCCTAATTTTAGTTCAATGTTTATTCTATGAGATCGTTTCCTAGAAAAAACTATGAAAGTGGATTTTTAGTGACAATATTTGGTGGTATAATTCGGACGTTTTTGCGGCGCGCAAATACCTTTGTCAGTCTGAGTGATAGAGGGTTACAAGGGGCGGCAACCAATCTTGCACGTTTGTAGAGGAAGTTGACATCGCGCGCAATGCAATGGAACTCGAGGTTTACGAAGGCTGAAGGGTTAAATATCCCTAGCGGCGACACGTGCTAGGGATGAACAACGCTGGCGATTAGGGAAAGCTACAGCTGCTGAATTGTAGAGCCACTATCAGCTCGAAGAAAACTTCTACATATTACAAATACAAATTTAATACAAAGATAATGTAAGTCATTGTAAAAACTTCCTTCGTAAAAATCAACGAATTAGGTAAGAATAGAACAGAAATACAACCGACAAGGGAGGACAGCCCCGAAGAGGGAATGGATAGGGGATAGAGGGATCCCTGCTCCCGTGATAGAGGAATAGACAGGCGTGAGATTTGAGAGTTGTTAGATTCCAAATGCAGAATCCTTAAAAAACTATAACAAATATCAAAGGAAATAAATTCAGTTTTTCAACGGGAAGTGGTAACCAGTGACAACAAAAGAAAACTGCCCAAACGTTCACCTAGTGTCACGTTCACCTTCAGGGTGTCCTTAAAACCGTTCGCTGTTTAAGACACGGACGGCCTCTGTTAGAGAACCTGTTATTGATAATAAAGGAAACGTTTTGGAATGAATTTGGTATGAAAGATATTTAATGAATGCTCTAATGCACACTATAATGAATTATGTGGGAGTATGATTATATCGTCCAGTCATTTGTGATAGGTTACATATAAAATATCCCTAGAACCGTAAATAAAAGTAAACAACGTAATAAGAAAATGACCGTGTGCGTGGTGACTACCTGGAATGAAAATTATCGCAACTAGTGTGTAAGATGTCTGAAGTCGGTTAGGTTAATAGGTGAAGTATTAGTTAATTTTTCTCAGGAGATATTCTCTCATCAGGTAATCCAAACAAGTATGATGACAAACCGATGAAACTCATTACACACACTATATTCTTTTAAAATAACGCCATATTTTCCTTAACATGACTCAGTATTTCGATTGCAAAAGAATGACTAAGAATATAATGATTAGGGGGCGAATGTTGATCGCCGAATACAACGCCAAGAATGATAAATAAAATGCACTTAAAATGTTTTTAAAATGCTCTAAAACAAAGAAAAATGACATACAAAAGTTTGATCGAAGCCACTTCTGATGAACAACTCAAGGTGTTGGATATGTTACTGATGTAATCGAGGCTTCTTCCTTTAGTTCAAAAGATTTCAGCTTGCAAACTTTTGGTTTGGATTGTTCTTTAAAGGAAAATCTCTTTGTTTATCGTGAAAGGAGCCGAACTGACAATCGCGTTGTTAGGAGTTACAAGATCCTTAGATCACTAGTACTCACAACGGCTGACATAACAATATAAGAGCGAAGACATCGAACAGGCAACTCAACTTCTGCGAACATTTGTTGCATCTCGTAAATATTGTTTGAAGCAAGTACCATTAAAATTATATTAAAATCTATGAAATCAGCAAAAAATGCATTAAAAAGATGGGGTAAAAATGTAAAAAATGATTTATTAGTTGAAATCGTCGAAAATGCAAAAAATTACACAAAAATAGCTCATTTCCTTTTATCATAACATAAAATTAATTTCTATACTCAACGGCATTGTTTTAAGTGAAAAGAAAAAAGACATTTCATTAAAATCCGACCCCTTGTAATGATTAACACCATTTATAAACCTCGAAATTAAATGTGATCCCCATCAACAAGTTTATCGACACTATTAAGTTCGCACATCGTTTAACGATATTTGAATGCCTCTTCCTGTAACAAATCGTTAAGAACGAATTTAGTGAGGACGAGGTTGACGCAAGACATTGAAACGGTGTGTCATTAGAGTGGAGTAGATAGAACTGCTCCGGAGCTCTACGCTGAAAAAAGAAAACTAAGAATTATGTGGCTGACGTAAGAAGGATAGCTAGGAAGAAAACATTCTCTCAGTTGGATGATAGCCATTGTCAAAATATACCGATCAGTGTGCTATATGAAAGAAATGAAAAACTAGACACAAACAACTACCTCATAATTTGTTGTATATACAATTGATGGATAATAAAGCAACATTTATACATAATTAAATCTTTAAACACTTTATAGGGACGTACTATAGATACTGTTAGCACTTAGGATCGATTCTCAAAAAGTGTAACAACTTCGAAATGTGGTGACGTTATAGCTGTACCGCAAAGTAAATAAAAAATAAAAAATCATGATGGAGAACGTGTCACGTGAGTGTTTAGGAAAAGCTGTATCTTCCCTCTCTCCGACTTCTCTCCACCTACTTCCCGTCAAAGAGCAGAAGGGAAGGTGCAATACACAACCGATGCAATACACAACCGATGCCACCCCATGGGCGTCCTAAGCATGTAGCGCTATCTTGCTAGAATAACATTGACTCTCGCCAATACCGAATTCGTACCCACACAAAAGTTATGCAAACCCGACGGTAGCGGAGAATTATGGTGGGGGCATAACCATCAATCAACATTTCAGGGCGTGCACAATGGAATTTTTCTTTGTGTATGCAGTTCAGCTATACCCGCATGTCTTTCATTTCGCTCCTCTGCCGCGCTACTTCAGCGTGAGTGAGTATTGATTCCAGGCGTGTCAGCTACGGAGGGTATTAGCCCAGTAAGAGTTATGCACGTTATGTCCCTGGAGGTGGCAGTGTTCATCGCACGTTGGAATGTGAGATCCGGCGTTGACCTTTGCGACGGCTAGTGGGGGATTTCCCTCTCCTGTTATCGCCTCGTCTCGTGGGGAACAACCTCTATGCTCCCGATCAGCCTCCCCTCGTAATTCACCTAAGTGTGTGTAGGGGAGAAGAGATAACAGGGACGAAGAAGGAAAGGTCGCGGGCGGTACTGCCTGTTTATTGGGGATATTGTTTCTGCTTTCAACTGACATTGATACACACACACAAACAAAAAAGAAACACTCAGATCAGAGTAGTCGGCCTCTTATAATTCTCCCCTATGCAATGAAGCTGGTGTGAAACATACGCCATCGTCGGTACGTGAAACCCAAGGCCTTGAGATCGCCAGAGGCAGTGCGGAGGAGTTGCTGAGCTCTTACAGCCGGTGCTCCACGTGGCGCGCAGCCGCGCCGAGTGGCGGCCCGTGGCTGCCCGTGTTCGCAAGCGCGCCGCGTGCTGTGGCCGCGCGTCGCAGAGTGACTGGCGGAAAGCGCGCGAGTCGTTCCTCGGAAGCGCTTTCCCAACGCGCGCTATCATCTCCAGGAGCCTCCGCTGCGCTCATCGCGCCAACGGGCACCACAGGCGCCATTCCCGCTCTCCGGGCGGGCTTGTTAGCTTGGAAATCGGATTCCGACTCAGAGTTTCGCAACTTCCATGTAATGCGTGTCGATAACAAGTTTCAATACTATTACTATGCAATTTTATTGCCCCTCCGGGAGCTTATGGTTAGCGTGCTAGCTTTCGGTGCGATCCCGTGTGGTATTCACGGTCGGGAATAAACGAGAGTTGTACCTTTCCATTACAATCCTCTCAGATTCTATAGCGGTGTGACAAAGAACAGCTCAGGCATGCCAAATATGCTAGATTCGGCGAAGGGAATACGTCACGCCCTCCACATGTCTCCTTTAATTTCAGGCGTGGAAATACCGCTAGGAGGTAAAAGTCGCATTAATCCAACCCTAAAAAGCCAAAGACGTACATTCATATAATTTTATTACTAAGAAACGTAAAAGAATCTTTTGTACTTGTACAATAGTATTACTAATGGAAATATACTGTTTGTATTATATTGATTTTGTAGAATCGAATAACGTGCGTCCGTCTATTACCGGTTCACCATCGAGAGAAATAAGACATTCAAACGCGTTTCGGTCTTTCGTGGATAACTGATCATTTTATTCGATCCGTCAGAAATTCAAAGATTTCTTTTAAACAAGTAATGTGTAACAAGTAATTTCTTTTAAACAAGTAATGTACATTGGTGAAATGCTGTGAATTACAGTACTCTCTTACCGGTATTTACAACAATCTTTACGATTTGATTCATTGGATAGATGACAATTAAACCTAATTTTGTCATGAATCCAAAAATTAAACAACTACATTTACTTTTTCATGCATTTTTCTATGCTACAAAATGAACTAAACGACTAACTGTAATGTTTAAAATAATTTTTATTGTGAACTTTTATAGAAAAAACAAATTTTTAAGTGAAAATATCCGCCGGAGGCTGCACGCCAACCAAGTGGTCAGTACTACCGGACGTCTATTGTAATTGATCAAGCTTGGGATTGAGCTGTGTGCTGTACTCTGTAATTTGTGTTGGGTCAGAAATGATAAGAAATTATCAATAAAATTAATAAAATAATAATATTAATTGTATGACTCAGGAAATTTGGTGAAGAGAAAAAGCATCTGCAAATTTTCCAAAGAAGTTAAATCGAGAAACGAGTCGTATCATATCAACTTATCTAATGCTTGAGGATATAAAGAAATATACTTTGTAGTAATTAAGAGAATAAACGTCTGGTAATTTAAAAAAAAATAAAATCTGTCAGAAATGGTTAAAAACCAGAAAGCAAAGTTAAACCATAGGATAGGAAAGCTACATAAATCAACCCTTTTAATATTAATGTCTGCAGCGATGATAACATTATTGCTACTAACAATTAAAAAATACTTTCTATGACGACACTGAAGAAAACTAATATTTTATTTCTTAATATTATCCTGTACGAAAATCATAACATAAATTGAGGCATGTATCTTAAATAATACGGAGAAGACCTTACCTTAATAGTACATGCTAAACGTTTAAACTTCTATAACGTTTTACATCGTTTATGATATTGTACCTTTAAAGAAATTTCTGTTACCGGGTGAATGTACTTAATGCATCATCAAATTACGTCAATATATCTTTTATGTCATAACTTACAGCCACGATCATTACGAAACCACGAGGTACATATCATGTTTCCTTGAGGAAAAGTAGAGAAAGATCGTTCCTTTCATGAAAAATGTATATTTATATTTCGAAATAATGTTTGGAAAGTTTTGTATTTTTTCTGGGATGTTTTCTCGTATGAAGCCTGGTGGTGTCACCTCATCTTATCTACGAACTCTATCTAAGATCGGAACTCATTATATTTTTCGTACTTCATATGGAGTCAATAATTATAAATCAATAAGATTTACTGTTACGATATTTCCGAAACTGCAGGTAAATTCTCCGCGGAAGAACGAAAACTGCTCACTACAGCTCAATAGATAACCAAATTTATGAAAAAGATAATTTGGTTATCCAGAAAAACACTAAAACAATTACGAATAAGTACATGACTTAGTTTTACAATTAATAGTACGAACATTTGTATCATCAAATGTATATATACAAATTTTCAAAAAATGATCCATGCCATAATTATATAAATAAATATTTATAACTCAGTTTTTGAAATTCGGGATGTTAGACGTGTGGGCGAAAAGAAATCCTTCTCTAAATGGAATACAAAAGAAGATAATACATGGAGCAAATATTGCATCCTTTTGTGATCTTTTCGAGCGTGTTCACGTTGTGTTCATACAAAGTTCACACTTCGAGTAACTCCACAAAGGACACAGAGGCTGAATACATGACGTGTTCTGACATTGCACCACTTTCGAAAGACTATTGAAAAGACATTGTAGACATGTATGTGAGTGAATTGCAGCTTGATGAGCTTACACACAAGAGCTTTGTAGACTAACTTCAACTGTGCATATATTGATGCCATTCAATGAAACCCCATTATGAGTAGAGTTTTCATACGAAAAGTGTAGTAGATAAACTGCTGTCATAGTACTCGTATATTTCATTTTGATTGATTTACGTTCAAAAATATTTCTATTAGCAAATACATTTTTTAAACATTTATTTACAACTTTGAATCACTGGAGTCCTCGCATGACTCTGACGAACACAGTCCTGGACACAGTGTTCTACATGACAATGCAAACTAACTGTTCGAGACTCATTAAATGCTGCCACGAAGTGAGAACGTGCTGGAGCTTATAAATACAGAATGTTTACTCTTTTGAACGCAAAGCTTTCCTACGAATAAATAAACATTAAAATACCTATAAAGACCATAATAAACGTCATTAGTGCGGTAGGTAATGTCTTAAATTGGTAAGACTAGCTGATGGGGTCTCGGTGATTCGAGTAGGTCGGGGACGTTCTTCTCCCGTGGCTTTCTTGAAGGTCTTGGAAAGTTGTTGGTCACTCCGACCTTCTACGGAAGGCATTTCTAGCATAATAAAAAGTGCAAAGCAGCAGAGCTACTCTTGTAATTAATTTTTGTTATTTTAAACCATCCCTAACGAACAATGTAAACTTGTTTTTAATACACACACGAACAAAAAAATACATAACTTTCAAATTGTAAAACAGTATACACCGAAGTAATTTTATACCTAAATTAGAAAATAAGTGTAAAATATTCAATGTTAAAATGTTTTCAGAGGGTAAGCTAATCGAGCAAAGTGACGGTGAAATGCGTCGAATCAGATAGCGTTTCAAAAGTAGCGTCCATTTAAAAATCGCTTGTTGCTTTAATGAATGAATAGGTGGGATTTACAAACCGCACGTGTAACTCACGCGTGACTTTCTTTTAATGTGGTTGGGTATCTTCATGAACATCGATGTCAGTCTTGCATACATTATACTCATAAGTTCAGATATAAAATAAAGAATAATTATATTGGACCATAATTATGCCCTAATAGTAGTAGGAATATATAATCGCTCTGGATTATGTACGTCGCCGAATCGCCGAAACAAATGTTGGTTTTGAACATCAGAACATCATAATTTATTAAATGTGCACTCCATACGAAATAAATGTCCATAAAAATACATAACAAAATGTAAAATCACTGAGATTTTCAGTAGCCTCTAATAATTTCATGCGTATTAATCTTCATAGCATGAGCTTGTGTGAACATCATTTCAATTCATATTTTAAAATATGACCTACGTTTATGAACCCTATTTAATCTCTCATTTATTTACTTACAAAATTACTCATCATTACAAAAGTGGTATATGAGTAAAAATAAAAGTGCAATAAAAATCCATGCCAAAAGTTCTAGTTGCAGCGTGTTTTTTCATGTCACAGAGAAAAAAACTTCACTATAGCACCGGTATTGCATCTTGGGAGGTCATTCACCGCTTAAAGGAGCACTATTATTTAATACACGGGCTTTAAAATGAAGTGACACATCCTCTAGTGCCCAGACATACGTTGTGTCAGAAGAGCATACGTTATTCCTCCCGCGCTGCACAGGGAGAGCGGGCGTCGTGCATTGCAGATGCGACCACACGTCAAGGCCGAGAAGCAGTGAAAGGCAAAAATTCTTCTATTGAACATTTGAAGTTTATGCGCGAGCGGAAAGGTGCTTGAAAACGCTCATGTATGTTGATAGGATACACCAGCAACAGAATCAAACTACTTCAAAGTGCAATTACAAATTTGATCTAATGGCTTTCTGTTATTAACTTTGTTACTAATAACTTGTCAGTTGTAACTAATTGATTGGTTCCATAGAATTGTAGACAGTCAAACAATTAAACTATAGCAGTAATCTTTCTTCATTTCAATCAATATTTATTTCACCTCTTGATGGAAGAATATCTCTTTCGAAAGGTTGCCACTGATTGACTGCTCTCTGAAATAAATGTTTACTGAAAAGTAGAAAGATTACTGCTATATTTTATTTTTTGACTGCCTGTACTTCAAAATACATGTTGCATGCTACAAGACGATTTAATTAGCACGTAAGCACATCACTCATCCTACGCGTCAACATACATACGTCCACAAAATATATTAGCAGGATGACACAGAAAATGACGATTTATGGTTAATTCTAATCACATTTGGAATATTTTCATTTTTTATAATTTCCTCAAAAAGTTAAACAATTTTTGCTTCCGAAACAAAATCCATTTTGATTTCAGAACCCAAATAGGTTGCAAATTTATTTGATAGTTCTTTATCATAAAAAGCAGTAAAATCTGTATATGACGTACGTGATATTGAATTTATACTTCGAGATTATGTTTGGACATAATATCCATTTATTCGTTTTAATATAAAAACTTCTGCACCTCCGAATTCTGTCAGTGTTCGAAACCCGGGCCTGACATACACCAATTATACAAAACATGATTCACAGTCTCGGTAATAAAATGCAAAGGAAAATAAGTTTGGAATAAACAATTTTTGAAAAACTGTGTCACATAAAAATATCGTAATCATTTTCGGGATAGAAGATTAGAATCTTCAAAAACACTCAACTGCCCTACACACTAGGGACAGTGCGCTTTGAGTCACATGCATAACGCTAGAGATATATGTAGATGTAGATTACTAATAAACAAATTTTTAAAAAACGGAATAAAAAAAATCAACCTAAGATTTGATGACAGTAAGGTGCACTTACCGAGACGAGCAGGGAGCCGAACAGAAGAAGAGCAGCGACGTGTCGGAGCGCCATCGGTGCGTGGGAGGGAGATGCGAGGTGTGCAAACGATGTGCGGGTGGTGCGAGAGCCGAGGTCACAGCGGGCTCGCGGCGTTCGGTAGGCGAGTGGCAGTCAGCGAAGCGGCGCGTTTGCTGCTAATGATGTGGTTGCTGCGAGCGGCGCAGTCAGGGCGTGTGGAACAGCCGGCTTGCCTTCGGCGCGGGCGATGTCTGCGAACGGTGAGGGCGGGCGGGC